TATCTTATTTTAAGAGTATAAAAATACCCATTCCATTGGCAGATCATCTTATTTACCTGCTCAAATTAAGGGAAATACACTTGATTTAAGAATTTTTTACTTATTTCCAGGTGGTTTTTGCAGTGCAGGAGACATGACAACAGATTTTGATTAAATAAATCATTTTTTCTTAAAATAAATGCATTTTTTTCTTGAATTTAGGTGTTAAGTGAGACAATTTACTCAACTCTCAAGTTCTTTTTTCTAATTAACTTATTTTAGGAGGAAAACTACTCGTTCTATTGGCAGATCATCTCATTTACCTGCTTTAATTAACGGGAAATTCCCTTAATTTAAGACATTTTTATTTATTTCTAGATCATTTTTGTAATGAAGCTGGATTCAGAAAGAACAGAAATAAAACCTGAACCCAGAGACAGGAAGTGAGGAGGAGCTGGCCTTTCAAAGTAAAAGAATAATGAAGTCTACAGAAGGAAAAGATGGAAGCTAATAATTAAAAGGTTTAATAAACGATTAAAACCATCGGATGAACCAGAAGCAGGTGGGATGTTTGCTGTCCTCTCATGTCTGCAGCGGCAGAGTGTGATTGGCTGACAGGGATCAGCTGGTTTTAACCAGCAGGGGTTCCTGTCTACGCTCTGTGGGTGTGGACGTCAGAGTGGGTCCGATGAGTGGGTCAGTCCGTACAGATGCTCCCAGCTGACCCAGATCTGCTGAAATCTCCTTTAATCTGCTGACAGAATCCCGCCTCATTCTCAGGGTAAATATGTCCCCGTTTACCCATCATGCACCTGGGTCCACAGCAGGGACTGACCCTCTGACCCGGCTGCGTTTCTTCTGTCCCAGACGTCTGGTTTAAAGGACAGCTGTTGGCGCAGAGGGTTTCTGTCCAGGTTTTTATTTTATTCCTGTTTTTTTCCTCATTCTGAGGATCATGAAGTTAATCCTAATTTTCTCTAATCTGGATCTTCTGCCTCAGTCTGATTCCTTTCTTAACGTTTCTCTTTTCCTTTCATCATATCTGCTGCAGACTGACTGAAAATACCTGAAATGAAAGACTTTGATAACATCTAGCTGAGTTTTCTGCTTCCTGAGGAAAGGAGCTTTAAGGCTTCCTTCTTTATCTCCTTTAGGAAACTTCCTTTATAGAAGCACATTATTCCTTCCCATAATTCTCTGCTGCGCTCAGTTTGAATAATCCAGATTTAATTTGATGGTGAGATCAGCAGGTGAACCGTGAAAACTTTGATCTTTATTTCTAAAACCTAAAACTTTTGTAATTAGCATTCATTTAGATAAAGTTTTATACATATTTATATCGTGACTCTTAGAGTTTGGGGATTTTGAACAGAACAATTTCCTCAAGATGGTTTAAAAAATGAGGGAAACAGCAGCTCAATATTCAATATTACTACAGAAGAAAAATGTGCTGAAT